TCACGATCCAAACCACAACCCTTAAAATCCCAAATCGTTCAAACGTAAATAGAATCTGAGAACAAGGGCGAGCGGAGAGAGAGAGGGTTGAGACGCAGAAAGCGAGAGTGAACGATGAGGGTGGGTGAGGGAGAAGACCATCTGAGTCTTCGTCTTTTCGTTTTTTTTTATTATTTATTTTTATTTTATTTAATTTGGTTTTCTTTCTTTTCATTTATTTATTTTATTGTTTATAATTGTGCCGGGCCTTATAACCCGTGTGGGTCTGATCATCTTCTTACTCCCCGTTTTAATTTTGCCCCCTCCTTTTTTTTTTTTTACTTTATAATTAGGTAACATACTAATATATATATATATTTAGATTGGTTTGTTTTAACTTTTTTTTTTTTTTTTTCTAAATAATTTCTTTAGTTTATATTAGATTTCTCATATATGTATATTATGTTTAGAAGTTTTTTTTATATATATTTTATTTCTTTTAGAAGTTTATATTTTATATTTTAAAATTGGATTTATTTCTCATTTGTCATTGGGCATTTTGTCCCATTCTCATCCGTTTGGGTCGATGACGAGACCTCCGTAATTCATTACCAATCAAATTATTGATAAGTAATGTTGGATCTGAGACCACCTCTTTTCTCTCTTCATTATTTGTCACAACTCGATTCAAAAACATTGTCAAACAATCTTCAAAATCAAATCATCTTTGCATTGAACTAAACGAGGGGATTAAGTGTAGACTTTCTTCCTCTCCGAGTGTTGGGATGCCCACTGTAGTGAGGGTGGTTTCGACACTCGTCTTTCAATACGAAGACGTTTCCCATCCATTTTCAAATCTCATCTCCTTAAAATCAATTCTTTGTGTTGAGCTAAAGAGAGGATTGGGTGTAGACCTTTTCTTCTTCGAGCATAGGGATGCCCACTGTAGTGAGGGTGATCTCGATGTTCGTCTGTCAATACAAAGACGCTTCCAGCATTTCCTCATAAAAACCTCGGTCTCGTACCGAGCCCTTTTTTTTCAAACCATAATAATTTGATTTCTCTTTATATCGAATTAAAGAGAGAAGATTGGGTGTAGACCTCTTCTTCTTCTAGTGTTGAGATGCCCACTGTAGTGAGGGTGGTCTCGATACTCGTCTTTCGATACGAGGACGCGACTTTATCCACCATCCCCTTCCTCAACTTTATCCCGCAACCCTCTTCACACCTAAAACCTCGGTCCTGCACCGAGTGCATTTTCAAATTATTTTCACAATAAAGACTTGAATGGTCGTGGAGTGGTTAGGCGTAGGCCTTCTCCTATCCCGAGTGCTGACGTTTACCGTAGGGTTCTCTGTCGCAAAGCACTTACCATTCAAAACCAAAAACACTTAATAAGAGAACGAAGCTCTCTTTATGTTGAGTTAAAAAGAGGGGATTAAGTGTAGACTTTCTTCCTCTCCGAGTGTCAGGATACTCACTGTAGTGTGTGTGGTCTTGACGCCCGTCTTTCAATACAAAGACGCCTCGTTCGCCACACCTTTTTTATAACAAAAACTTTGAGACAATGAATTGGGTACTACCCGTAGGGGTTACTATCCGAGGACCTGTCTCGCCCCCCTAAAAAACAATCCAATCAATCAAACGTGACTTCTTGCCCCGCGTGGCGAAAACTAATCAATCTTTCAAAAGGATATGATACGTCCGTTCTACCGCAAACAGGTAACGCTTAAGTCTCCAACGAGCGAGCAGCGAAATACCTAACTGCTAGAATGCGCACGATAGCATCATCCATAAAAAACATCAACACACCGTAGGCCGAACTACGGCTGCTCTGATTTCTCATACCAGATGAGAATACGTAGGCACAAGGGCCACAATCCTTGGCGAGCACAATCCCCCTATCACCCGTAGTTTCCCGAACTACGTCGACTCTGACTTTCTCATATCTGTTGAGAATACGTAGGCCTAGGACCGCGAAGTCCTATCGAGTCCTTTCTTTCTCTCGTCACCCCTTGTTTCCCGTTTCTAAACCTTTCCCTTAACCCTTTTGGAACACTTCTTATAGCATAATATTTAAGCAAATAATTCACACATATGACAAACAAAAGGTTCCCATCGAGTACGATGGATGCGAGGGGTGCTAATACCTTCCCCTTGCATAACCGGCTTCCGAACCCGTTCTTGGTCGCGAGACCATCTTATCCATTTCGTTTCTTAAGGTTTTCTCGATATTTTCCTTTCCCCTCATGGGATAAATAAAGTTCGGTGGCGACTCTTCTGTCCTTCCTTTTCGCCTCCCCGTCGTTGCGCGATGCATTTTTTCGAGTAGCGACAGTATGGTGGTTAGGGCTTGCCCACGACAGTGAGAAGCTCTGCATGGTGGTGTTTATGATAGTTTAGAAAACTTTCTCACATGAGGTGAGAGACTCTGTGGCTATGTTTGATGCTTTTGTGTAAGCTTATGGAAGTTAGGATTCCCCTCTCTCTTTTGGGAGAAGTATTTAAAGAGGCCTTTTTGGGCTTAGGCTTTGAGAAACCCTTAGGTGCAGTAACCACTCTCCATGATTAAGGGAGACTCCTGACTACCTATTTCTCATGGAGTCGTTGTGAGACTCCCTCTTACATAAATAACGGGATAAAATGACACAATACACATCATCTGTCTCAAGGCAAGCCCCAATTCTACATGGATGTCGCCTAGGCAACATTGCTCCGGACGAGGACCAAGGAGTCGCCCTTGTTAGGGACCCTTATAAATATAATACTACAAACTAACACCCATGAGTGAGGACCTTCAATGAAGTGTGGTCCTAAAACAAAAGGGCCCTCCAAGGAATCCCCACATATGTATCATATTGAATAAACACTTTCGTATCAGTATGAATCAGCACCTCTGTATTATCCTGAACAGTCACCTCTAATTAAACATCATCAATAACTATAACATCTGACTCATCACCAGGATCTCTGAACTGACCAGTTGTTCCTCCTCTACACTAGAGAGTATGTGGTTCATGAGACTACTCGATCCACTTGTGGTGAGAACTCGTGATAAATAGTCTTTGCGCCCTAAATTATAAATGACTATCTCCATCATCTTCGTAGTCTCCACCAGAGCTCTCTACAATAGGTGTCTCGCTCAATCTAGGTTTTGCCTTCTCTTCCTGCTCTCCTCACCAAGCACACAAAAAAAACACCACTACTCAACCAAACTTTTAAAAAAAATCCAGCCACACCCCTTTGTATACCCGCATTTTCAAAAAATCCAATAACCAACACTCTAATCTAATCGGAAATTTCAGAAAAACAATCGGTACGTTATATGCATTTTATATTGATAATTTATAAATATTTGGTATGCAATATGCATTTTTACTGACATTTAAAAAAATCCGATGAAAACTCATTGTTGATATCGATTTTTTAGAAAGAGGTCGTAAAAATACATATAAAAAATTGGCTTATATAGGATATTCCTAAAAATCTTGTATAATTCCATAAATTTAGTACAGACTATTTCAATAAATCGGTAAAGATATATAACTGTGAAAATATGGTATTATAGCAAAACCATTCGATAAAAACACAAATTATTGGTGTTTCGTGATTAAAGAGAACACTAAATTTGCTCTAGATATGAGAAATTCATCAATTCATTTTCTTTAGATTATGCATATATCTAGTATATATAAGTTATCATGTGAATGAATAAACTCCAGAACTTATAATTAACTTGCAAAATAAATAAGTTAGCTACTTCATCACCAGGTAACTAACTAACTACACAAATCCTAACATAATTTCACCTCTTTTTGTTTTTTTATTTTTAAAATAGAATCAATAGTCCAATATGGATGATTTCTTAACTAACTAACTACACTACTCTTAAGACTATTTCAACTTTTTTTTAATATGGAAGATTTCATCCTTACCTTTTAAATTAAAAAAAAAAAGTTGAGTATCTTTTAAGAAACTCAAAATATATGTATTTTTTAAAAAACATAAGCTCAAAATATGATCTTGTCCTAGAGAATTAAAACTTTCATTTAAAACAACAATAAAAAAGTAAAAATAATATATAAGCTCGTGAAAAAACAACTATTACTAAATGAATATGTTTAAAAATATAAATTTATAAAAACATAATGTTTATCAAACAATTAACTTTATTATTAAATTTAATATATTTAATTATTTTTTTAAACAACGACTTTTATTGAAATTGATAAAATAAATCGAATAATACAAAACTAACTCATAACATCCACGAAAATAGCATATAACAACAAAATGTCTACAAACATAACAAAATTTATAAATATGACAAAGTTGAAATGCTATGATTGTCCATATCTCTGAATCTGCAGCATTGACAAAATCAAAAATCATTGATTCAATATGAACTAAATCGAGACTAACTTGTCAATTTGAATCGAACAAACACCGCAACAAAATGGAAAAATGAAACAACACCGCAATAAAGTGACAAAATCACAACGTCATATAAGACGATGAAATAACGAAAATGATTTTTTTTTTAAATGTAGGATTTTTTGAATTTCTAAAAAAAAATATTTATTAAAGTTTTTAAACATACTAATACATATATTCTTAAAATTAGTAACATCAATTTATTTAATTTGACTTTTATACACACAAAAATATTAGCAATGAACGTCTTTATTTAAAAAGAATTTTGCATAATAGAGGCGGGGGAGTATAAGAAAAAAGTGAGGTTTAAAGAGTAACATACCCAAAGCCCAAACGAACAGGCCGTGAATAGACTCAGCCGTCCTCTCCCTCACAGTCTCACCGCCTCTGCCATCCAGCACCGCGGCGACAGGTTTTCATCTCTCTCTCTCTCTCTCTCTCTCTCTCTCTCTCTCTCTCTCTCTCTCTCTCTCTCTCTCTCTCTCTCTCTCTCTCTCTCTCTCTCTCTCTCTCTCTTCACGTCGTACGATTTCTGAACTTGTATATACATTTGGAATTGATTTGTTTTTCAGCACCAAAATCAGCCAATGGCATCTTTGTTCCGCAAGTGTCGAGAGGTAAGTAATGTCAGATCAATGTTAGTTTCGATTACAGCTTGAACTTGAGTACTGCCCGAATTATATGTCACGCTATTCCTTTCCATTCTATTACGCTCCACCAATCCAAACATAACCTTAATGTTTCTTTTTGAAACAAAACTAAAGATTGAGAAAAAAGACTTAGAAAGTTAAATCACTTTAACTCATATCAGTGTAGTTTGTATGTTATAGCTTATAACACAGAGGAGTATGCTTCTCAATTGATAGAGTTCATTCTATATTTTTCTATTAATTGAAGGAAAATTTATGTTTTGAAAGGATGGACTCTATATGTGATGGATTTTGTGAAGCACTCTTGTAGGGATCTTAAAGTTTTGTGCTGTGCTAAAATGCAATGCATCTTAAATTGTTTTAATGTTGCTCTGAATTTGTTTCAGGCTGTGAAAACCCTTGCAAAACGCCCTTCTTTGACTAAGGATCCGAGACAATTGCAATTTGAAGCAGATGTTAACCGCTTGTTCCTTTATTCCAGGTTAGTAGTTTTATGTGGTTTGCAGAAATATTTATGCAGAGTTGGAATTTGTTGAGTAAAGTTGGTAGTAGATCTTCAGTGTTAACACTACATAGATGATTTGTTATATATTTGATGTTTTTAGGGTTTAAATTACAAAGATGTCATGCCAACTATTTCAAATTTGTTGTGTGTGTGTGTGATGTTTTTCCTTTGTAACATATCCAGTTGTTTTGCTCATGCCAATACTTAAATATCCAGTTATAATCAATTGGGGAAAAGTGCGGATGAATCAGATGCTGAAAAGATTATTGAAAAAGCCAGTAATACCTCTTTTGCTGATCAAGCGATACAAGTACAAGAAAATGTTCACTCACAAATTAAGACGTTTTGTGCATTCATGGATGATATTCTTCTTCCAAATGAACAGACGATGAATGATCCTCTTGGATTATCTCAACAAGCAAGTGTTTTGCCTCGCCGAAGTGGACTTAGTTTGGCTGTGGGTAGGAATGGTTCATCTCCCGATAATTCCGGTGAATTTTCAGCCCTTTCTTTCAATTTCCTTTTACAATCTTCTTTATTTTATGAAACTTTTCTTGTTTACTTAGAATGTGATTGGAAGGAACCATAGGAGCTAGCAACCAACTAAGTGCAATTGTTTGTGCTCGTCTTATACTGGAAAATTGACTTTTCAAGAATTAACATGCACTCAAACATCTATATATTTTCATAATCAAAATATCCTCATCATTGGTGTGATTCATGTTTTAAATACCATACATAACCACTATAGAACCTACTCATTTAACACAATATATCATTTAATATCAACTTTGCTATGAAGCACCAACACAGCCACATACACAATACTAATGTTTCATCGTGACACGTAGACACCAATAATCATTTGATAAAATGAAAGTGATTAAATATAACCACATGTGTCAATGTTGTGTCTGTATCAAACACCGCTCACAATTGAGGTGTTGGGTCTTTATAGCAGTGTGGTAATTTTTTATGCAATACTTTTCTTCTGGATTTGCACGGGTACAGGAAATATCCTGTTCTAGTAACACTTATTCTATGCTTATTTATCTATTTTAAATTTCATGTTATTGGGAAATTTCCTCCTTTTAGCTGTTGTCATTGATATGCTTTTGGAGCAGCTGGCCCTCAAACAAGACCATTAAGCCAAGCCGAAGTTTCTCTGAAGTTAAAAGATCAACTTGGCTACACACTCAATATTAAACCTTCTCAGATATCTCACAAGGATGCAGGTCAGGGTCTTTTCTTAGACGGTGTCGTGAATGTTGGTTCAGTGGTGGCCTTTTATCCTGGTGTGGTCTACTCTCCGGCTTATTATCGTTATATTCCTGGGTATCCGAAGGTTGGTGCGCAGAACCCATATTTGATTACAAGATATGATGGGAATGTAATCAATGCTCAACCTTGGGGTTCTGGAGGGGACAAGAGAGAACTGTGGAATGGTGGATATACTGTCGAAGTCAAGCCTGATACGAAAGTAGCAGAGAAAGGTTCAGACAGGGTCTGGAAAGTGCTGAGTAAGCCATTGGAAGGGAAAGGAGACAACGGTGAAGTAATTGAACGACGAAATCCATTAGCATTAGCTCATTTTGCGAATCACCCTTCAAAAGGAGTGCTACCGAATGTCATGATTTGCCCCTACGACTTTCCATTGACTGAAAACAACTTGAGAGTTTACATCCCAAATATATTGTTCGGAAATGCAGAGGTGAAAATGAGGAGATTTGGCAGCTTTTGGTTCAAATCTGGAGGGTCAAAGAATAGCGGATCGAATGTTCCAACACTAAAGTCTCTTGTCTTAGTAGCTACTAGAGCCATTCAAGACGAGGAACTTCTTCTGAACTACAGGCTGAGCAACACTAAGAGGAGGCCGGAATGGTATGCTCCGGTGGATGAAGAAGAGGATAGGAGAAGATGGAGCTAGCCAATCCATCATTGACTAGAATTTCATTGTTGTTTTGTCTCATAGAAATCTGATTTGTAATCCTTATTCAAAATTTGAAATTATTACTCTTTCTTTTTATGATTTTGGAAAAGTTAGTATTGAATAATATTTACACAAATAATAGTTTAGTCATCTACCAATTTTAACTACAATACTAATAAGTACATTTTAACTACAATACAAAATATTCTTATAATTTGGGATTATCATCTATCAATTATAAATGTGAAATTATCAATTTTTAAACCCGTTTAGTCATAACTCTCATACATTTTGTTGGAGAGTTTGGAGAAGTTCAAAAGTGTCGTTTAAGTTAAACCTTCATAATCAAAAGAGATTTTGACATTATGTATTAATTTAAAATCTTAAAGCGTCTAAGAAATGAATTATCTCTCTTATTAATTTAAAATCTTAAAGCGTCTAAGATATGAATTATCTCTCTTATAAATTAAACAGTTCTATGAGACAACTTAAATTCATGGCAAAGAAATGAAGTTGGTAAAAATTTCTATAATCTTCTCAAATTTTTTCTTCAAGTATATCATAAGCAGACATGTTTATTATTCTAATGTTTTTTATACCATGAGAAGAAACTCTAGGACGCATGTCCCAACCCTCTTTTGCCACTATTAGACATTCTCTTTCTAAATCAATACAATCACACATGTACACAACATATCCTATTCCTTATACACCGACACACCTTAATTTTCACTATACATTATATAAATACATCACTATCTATACTCCAATTCTTTCTCCAATATATTCATCACTATCCACTAAAAAAATTTCATTTCTTTTCCCTCTATAAATACCTAACACAACCGCCATATCTTACCTTATTGTTTTGTTCCTTCAACCATTACACAATGCAACTTTTCACATCACTTATTAATTCTTGTTTAAATTCTTCTCTCCCCTTCATTATATTTCTCCTCTTTTTCTCATGTTTCTCTCTTCTCCTTCAATGGTGGAAACACCATAGACATAAAGACAAACATCTACCCCCTGGTTCAATGGGTTGGCCTTACTTTGGAGAGACCCTCAAACTCTACACACAAAATCCAAACTCATTCTTCTCCTCAAGGCAGAAAAGGTATTCAAAATACATATACATATTAACATGTAACTAGTTACCAGTTTCTCTGTATGAGTTTCTAGTGATTATTACCATTTCGTCATAGTAATATTTGATATTGGTGATTTTGAATGAATGGAACACATAGGTATGGAGATATATTCAAGACACACATACTAGGTTGTCCTTGTGTGATGATATCTAGTCCCGAGGCAGCAAGAACAGTGCTTGTGAGTCAAGCACATCTTTTTAAACCAACATACCCTCCAAGCAAAGAGAAGATGATAGGACCAGAAGCTTTGTTCTTTCAACAAGGTGCTTATCACTCCATGCTCAAGAAGATGGTTCAAGCCTCTTTTTCACCTTCCACAATTAAAAACTCTGTCTCTCTTGTGGACCAAATTGTACAAAAAATGGTCCCATCTTGGACTAACAGAACCATCAACACACTGGAAGAAATGAAAAAGGTTCATTACACTATAATTACACCTTCATTTTTACATTGATTAATAAAAAACATAAAATTTAATTCTTGTTTTGGTTTTGTTATATAGTATGCTTTTGAAGTGGCTGCAAATTCAGCTTTTGGTGAAATAAAGGAAATGGAAATGGAAGAAATAAAGGAGTTGTATCATTGCTTGGAGAAAGGCTACAATTCTTATCCTTTAAATCTTCCCGGAACTTCCTATTGGAAGGCAATCAAGGTAGATTTAGTATCCTTGTTTTATAGTATAGGACTAATTAATCGGAGGCGACTTAGAAGTTGAACTTGATTTGTCGAACCAGATTAAACTGAGAAAACCATCCGTTTGATCTGGTTCAACAATACTACATTATAATTAGGATCAAACCAATTAACCAACTAATGAATACGTCTATTATTGATTCAACTAGTCGATTGTTTTGCGTGTTAATTATATTTAATAGATTAATTATTGACTTATTTGTGAAATGAAAAATGATGAAGGCAAGGAAGGTTTTGAATGAGATTATAAGGAAGATAATGGAAAGAAGGAAGGAGAGCAGGAACTATGGAGGAGGTTTGTTGGGAATTCTGTTGAGAGGAGGCAGAGGTGATCAACAACAACAACAACTGACTGATTCTCAGGTTGCTGATAATCTGATTGGTGTGATCTTTGCTGCACATGATACCACAGCCAGTGTTCTAACATGGGTTCTTAAGTACCTGCATGACAATCTCAATCTCTTGCAAACCGTCACAGTAATACAATATACACCATTTTATATCATCTTTTTTGTTGCGATTTTGTTTTAATTCGTATGACTAATTATTATTATCGTTTGTTCTTGCAGAAAGAGCATGAAGGAATCAAAAACAATCTTGTTAAGGAAAACCGCGGACTTTCATGGGAGGACACAAGGCAAATGCCACTCACTACCAGGGTAAAATAATTATTTTCTTCTCTCTGGTCTATATTTCGTCCCGACAGATACATTGATTATTCAATTTTCTCTATTCAGGTAGTCCAAGAGACACTAAGAAGTGCAAGTATATTATCATTCACATTTAGAGAAGCGGTTACAGATGTTGAACTTGAAGGTTACACAATTCCAAAAGGTTGGAAAGTGCTTCCGCTGTTCAGATCCATTCATCATTCACCACATTTCTTTCCTCAACCACACAAGTTTGACCCTTCAAGATTCGAGGTAAAGAATATTTTATCCTTAAAGTCCGAAACATAAGGTTGTAGATGAATCATCTGAATCTTGTTCCACTGCCAAGCTAAGTGTTTTTTTTAAATCTTAGTAGAATCAACAACATGTGATTTACATTTGTAGGCTAGTAGAACAATGAATTGTTGTATTTTTTTTCTTGTGGTTGACTTAGTTAAATAATGTGACGGTTCAGGTTCCACCTCGAGCAAACACATACATGCCATTTGGAAGTGGAGTCCACTCTTGTCCAGGTAGTGAGCTTGCTAAGCTTGAGGTTCTTGTTCTTCTTCATCATCTCACCCTTAAATACAGGTAATATTATTCATAATGGTGTACCTTAAAATGTGGAAGTGGTCCTTCATGTAGAATCAATATAGTATCTTTGTTGGAATGTATATTGCACATGTAGTTTGTTTAGTTGTTGTTTCCCTAACCACCTACCTATATTATATCCTCTGTCCGTTTTAAAATCACTGTGGTTTAAGATTTTTGAACAACCATTACAACGATACTATTATAAAATATTACATTTTTATTAAATTAGTCCTATTAATACGTTGAAAGTAGTGTAGAAAACAATAATTAAAGGGTGTTAACACATTTTAGATCTATTTAACTCAACTAACACATATCATTCATCAGCAATGCCATGCCATGTATTTCCTATCTCTATATGTAACCATAGAGGCAGCCTTATCAAAAATAATGAAAGGAAATGTGTGGATTACCATGTCTGAAAACCAAGATATTGTAGTCAAAATTTGAAAACAACAAGTTTTACTCAACACCACATGTACCTCTGCACAATCACACACCACACTCCTTACCACACACAACAAGGATAAACTTTGTTTCACATGAAAAGACTTATTAAACTATTAATGTATTATTATATAGCATCAATTCTGATGAATTTTTTTTATGGTGTATATGTTTAGGTGGGAAGTTGTGGGAAATGGAGATGGAATTCAATATGGTCCTTTTCCTGTGCCAAAAAATGGATTACCACTAAAGATAACTTTAAACAAGAGATAGATATATGTTCTCATAAACTCATGGAGAATTCAGAAAATGAAACCAAAGTAGGGCCAACCAATTTGTAGCATGTTAGTACTATCAATGGATTTTTGTTCCTTTTGTTCTTTTCTTGTATAGATTCTTTTCCCATTTATAGCCATTACGAGACAAATTTAGTTCACAATGGTTACACTATACATGGCCTATGTATTTGTAAACATTAATGAAAAAAAAATGTATAAATGTTAAGTTACACCACAAATTTTTTTAAATGGAACTTATTCACAAAATTTTCATGGACACCACTAATTTATCTATGAAAAATATCGTGAAAATGTAATAAATACAGAACACAAATGTGTTTTGCTTGTTTGGATTTTATAATTGTATTTTGGATTGATGAATTTAAAAATTGTGAAACTCTTTTATATAAGTTTACAAATTTAGTTCACATTAGCTACACAATATCTTATTTATGATTTTTTTTTAAATGTACTTATCCATGAAATTTTCGTAGATTTCTTTAATTTGTCTATGAAAGTATAGTAGAAAATGTAATGAGTACACAGTGTCAGATTTTTTTTCTTCGAATTATATAATTGTATTTTGAATTATAGAATCTAAAAATTGCAAGAAGATTTTGTATGGTAAAAGAGATTTTTGGATTTTAGAATTCATAACATGGCTTAATGCATTCTTTAATTCTTTAATTTAATTTAAGCCCTTATTTAATAAAGTCCGTTACAAGTCTTTTAAATAATATTCCATTAGTCACATTGGTCCATTCCATTAAATTTTGTTACATTTTATTGAGTTTTGTATGAGTGGTAGTTCAGCTGGTTCTACGTCAGATGCCATGTAATTTTTTATTTATATTGATTTAAATTTTAAAATTTTAAAATAAAAGAAACTGAAATGTATAATTATGAAACAATTTCTCCTCTCTTTCACAAACTCGTTCACTACCTCTTTCACTTCTTCCTCTCTGTCTTTCTAAAACTTGAATCTAACATTCTCGTTTTCAGATCTCAAAGTTACTTCATATCTCAAAATTAAGCCTAATTTTGTTTTCGTTTTCAATGTTACCTAGTGATTCAATGGTAGGTTTAATTTTTTTAAAAAAATTTTAGGGTTTTTTTATTGGAAAAAATCAATAATTTTTTAGATTTGAAATCATGAGTTTTTGCTGTTTTGTGATTGCAGT